CAGGCGGGAGCCTTCCTATGGGTCCCGCAGCTCACGTGGTTCCTCCGGGTCATCCTCCGGCGCGCGCTTCCTCTGGGTCGTCCTCCGGCGCGTATCGGCTGGGACGCACGTCGTGCGCTTCCTCTGGGTCGTGTTCCGCACGAGGACGAGGAGGAGGAGGATTGCCAGGAAAAGGAGGAGGGATGATGCAGGACGAGACAGGAAAGCAGGAAGAGGAAGAGGCTGAGGGGAGGAAGGACGAGGAGGAAAAGGAGGAGGAGGAATGCCCGAGGAGGCCCCAGTAGGTCCCGGAAGGCCCAGAAGGCTCCAGGAGGCCCCAAGAGGCCCCAGGAGGCCCCAGGAGGGGGCAGGAGGCCTAAGGAGGAGGCAGGAGGAGGAGGAGGAGGAGGAGGAGGAGGAGGAGGAGGAGGAGGAGGAGGAGGAGGAGGAGGAGGAGGAGGAATATGGAAACGAGGAGGAGGAGGAGGAGGAGGAGCGGATGAGGGAGAGGGAGAGGAGGAGGACAGGGGATGAGGAGGAGGAGGAGGAGGAGGAGGAGAGGGAGAGGGAGAGCAGGAGGAGGAGGCAGGAGGCAGGAGGGGCAGGGGGAATGGGGGGGAGGAAGCATAACGAGGGGGAGGGGGAGGAGGTGGAGGAGGCAAGAAGAGGAGGAAGAGGCAGGGGTTGAGGCAGGAGGAGGAGCAGACAGGAGGAGAACGAGGAGGCAAGAGTAGGTGGGAGAAGGGAAGGGGCAGGAGGATACCCCCATGCAAGCTGAAGAGATTCTCATGCGGGGTCCTTCCGTCGGAGTAAGTAGTGAAATGGGAGCAATACTAAAATAATCCGTAATGCGACTACTGATGGTACTGGTAGTTGTAGTAGCAGTAGCAGCGCTAGTAGCAATACTAGTAGTGGTAGTAATGATAGTAGTAGCCGTAGTAGTATTAGTAGTAATAGTAGTAGTAGTAGTAGTAGTAGTAGTAGTAGTAGTAATAGTAATAGTAGTAGTAGTAGTAGTAGTAGTAGTAGTAGTAGTAGTAGTAGTAACAGTAGTAGTAGTAGTAGCAGTGGTAGCACAAGTAGTAGTAGTAGTAGTAGTAGTAATAGTAGTAGTAGTAGTAGTAGTAGTAGTAGTCGGAGTAGTCGTAATAGTAGTAGTGTCCTAGTAAGGCTCGTAGTAGCAGCAGGGGAAGCAGAAGTGATAGTAGTATCAGTCATGTATGTAGATATGGTCGTTGTTGTCCAGGCGGTGGTTGTGGTACTAGTATTCGTGGTAGTATCCGTAAAAGTAGTAGCCATCGTAGTCGTAGCAGTAGCCGTGGGAGTAGTACGTGGGAGGCGGAGTTGTAGTAGTAGTAGTAGTAGTAGAAGAAGAAGTAAAAGTGGTAGCAGTAGTAATAATAGTAGTCGCCGTGGTCGTAGTAGTAGTCGAAGTAATAACGGTGATCGCAGTACAAATAAATAGTAGCACTCGTAGTAGTAGTAATTCTTGTCGTCGTAGTAATATTAATAGCAGGGGTAGTAGTAGTACTACTACTAGATGTAGTAGTAGTAGTAGTAGTAGTAGTAGTAATAGTAGTAGTAGTAGTAGTAATAATAGCAGTAGCAGTAGTAGTAGTAGTAGTAGTAGTTGTTGTTGTTGTAGTAGTAGGTAGTCGCCGTACTAGGCGGTAGTTGTTGTCGTAGTAGTGGCAGTAGTAGTAGTAGTAGTAGTAGTAGTAGTAGTAGTAGTAGTAGTGGCAGAAGTAGTAGTAGTAGTAGTAGTAGTAGTAGTAGTAGTGGTAGTAGTAGTAGTAGTAGCAGTAATGGTCGTGGTAGTACTAGTATGAGTAGTAGTAGTAGTAGTAGTGGTGGTAGTAGTAGTGGTAATAGTAGTAATAGTGATAGTACTAATAGTAGTTTTTGGTTGTTGCCCCAGTAGTAGTAGCAGTAGTTGTTGATGTCGTACTAGTGATAAGAGTAGTAGTGGTAGTAGTAGTAGTAGTAGTAGTGGTAGTAGTAATAGTAGTAGGAGTAGTAGTAGCAGTACTAGGTGTAGCAGCAGTAGCCGTAGCAATAGTAGGTCTACTACTACTGCTACTACTACGACTACTACTACGAATACGAATACGAATGCACATAGTAGTCGCATCAGTAATAGTAGTAGTCGTAGTCGCAGCAGGGGTAGACGTAGTAGTAGTAGCAGTAGTAGTAGCCATTATGGTACTAGTAGTCGTCGTCATAATAGTAGTGGCAATTGTTGTCGTAGTCGTAGTAGTGGGAGCCGTACTACTACTAGTAGTGGTAATGGTTGTGATAGTTGTGGTCGTGGTAGCATTATTATTAGTAGTAGTAGTAGTCGTAGTAGTCGTAGTAGTAGTAGTAGTAGTAGTAGTAGTAGTAGTACTAGTAGTAGTAGTAGTAGTAGTAGTAGTAGTAGTAGTAGTAGTAGTAGTAAAGAGTAGTTGGTGTTGCTGTCCCAGTAGTGATAGTAGTAGTTGTGACAGGGGAAATAATCGTAGTAGAAGTAGACATCGAGATAGTAGTAGTAGTAGTAGTAGTAGTAGTAGTTGCAGTGATAGTAGTAGCCGTAGTAGTAGTCGTAGTAGTAGTAGTGATCGTAGTCGTAGTCGTGCGTAGCAGTAGACGGAGTAGTAGTAGTAGTAGTAGTAGTGGTAGTAGTAGTAGTAGTAGTGGTAGTAGTAGTAGTAGTAGTAGTAGTAGTAATGATAGTGGTAGTAGTAGTCGCAGCGGTAGTAGGAGTAAAAGTAGTAATCGTAGTAGTAGAACTAGTACTAGTAGTAGCGGAAATATTGGTAGTACTACTAATAGTAGTCGTAGAGGTAGTAGTAGTAGTAGTAGTGGTAGTAGTAGAAGTAGTAGTAGTAGTAGTAGTAGTAGTAGTAGTAAACGCAGTAGTAATAGTAGTAGTCGTAGTCGCAACATGAGTAGACGTAGTAGTAGTAGTAGTAATAGTAGTAGTAGTAGTAGTAGCAGTAGCAGCAGGGGTACTCGTAGTAGTAGGAATAGTAACAATAATAGTAGCAGTAATGGTAGTAGTTGTGGTTCTTGTGGTAGTAGAAGTAGTAGTAGTAGTTGGCAGTGGCAGTAATCGTAGTAGAAGTAGAAGTAGAAGTAGAAGTAGAGGTAGTAGTAGAAGAAGTAGTTGCATACATGATAGTGGACGTAGTCGTAGTAGTAGTCGTAGTAGTCGTAGTAGTAGTAGTAGTAGTAATAGTAGTAGTAGTAGTAGTAGTAGTAGTAGTCGTAGTCGTAATCGTAGTCGTAGTCGCAACAGTCGTAGTCGTAGCCGTAATAATGGAAGTATACGTGGAAGTAGTAGCAGTAGTAGCAGTAACAATAATAGTAGTTGTAGTAGTAGTAGTAGTAGTAGTAGTAGTAGCAGTACGGATAGTGATAGTAGCAGCAGTTGTAGTAGTTGTAATAGTAGTAGTAGTAGTAGTAGTAGTAGTAGTAGTCGTGGTAGTAGTAGTCGTAGTACTAAACGTAGTAGTAGTGGTAGTCGTAGTCGCAGCAGTCGTGGTCGTAGTTGTAATAGTAGTAGTAGTAGTACCAGTACGGGTAGTAATAGTAGTCGTAGTTGTGAGAAAAGTAGTGGTAGTAGTAGTAGTAGTAGTAGTAGTAGTAGTAGTAGTAGTA